TCTATCTAGTGAACAGTGAATTGTACCCTACAACACTGAGGTATGTCAAAAGCTCCCAGGAATCTTTCAGCTTTTCCATGTGCTTTTCACCATTTCCTATTTCGCTGTCCTTTGGTTAAACTTTGTTGTCTCCAGAGTTTCCCACTCTGAATAGCCACTGCTTTATGTGGAAGGCATATACTGAAGAGATAATTTTGGAGCTAAGTCTACATTCTACTCTTTAAACTGCAGGTTATTCTGTTTGGTAGCACCTCTCTAATAGCTGGTACTTTTTGTCTTTTGCAGAAACTTTGGTGTTTCCCTGTGTTCAAGTCTGTGTGATCTTGGTGGGATCATAGCCCCATTCCTGCTTTTCCGATTAGCAGCCATTTGGTTGGAGCTACCTCTAGTTATTTTCAGTAAGATTTAATTTACAATATACTTTTGGTTGAAATATCCTTCTCCTAACAGAGCTTTTCTTTTGGGGTAAAAGTATTGGCCTTATCTCCCCTGCAGAGCAGTGCTTCTCCACCTTTATGCCTACAGCAAGAGGCTGAATGGCAAATGCTTGAAATGTGAGTTCTCTGCACAGTGTAGAAGAGCTCAGGTCTGCTTAGGTAACCCTGCTGAAGGAGCAGAAAAGAAACTATATGAAGTGCTTTAAGACTGAGAAACCTTTCAGCTAGGTTCTGTAATTGCATGGGAGTCTGTGACTAAACCAGACTTCTAGGAGGTAGACGTGACTGGAAAAAAATCAAAATGAAAAGGATAGAATAAGAGGGGAAATTTGCACCAGTGCCAACTTTAGCTGAAAACAAAATTGGAAAGACAAAAGGCGTTTTAAAAGATTAACATTATTTCAAGAAAATAGATAGGTGGAAGTACAGTGTTCACATTATCTAATTATTAAATTCTGCTGCTTCTGAGGGACATATGAATTCCCTCTGTCTTAAGTAAACAGCTACAAAATCAGAGGGGATCAGAGTGAACTATGCAACACTCAGGGATCATTTGATTTTTTGCTCCAGCCTTTCTGTTTGTGACTTAATAAATTTTGTGAATTATATCTATGCAGGAAATTATTCCAAAATATCCATTCCTAATTCAGATTGTATCTCAATGCTGTTCCCCAAGGAGGAGTTTTTATTCTGAACCACATAATTTACTTTGGCCGTGGATAAAGAAGAGAGTATTCAGGAAAATCTCAGTGGTTTCCGGAAACAGATGCATCTACATGACAGAGCCCTTTGAGACAAGGCAGATTTGTTCTGCATGAGAAATACCATCCTTGTTCCCATGCTGCTTTTACACATTTGCCCATGTGCACTTATCTCAGGTTTTTGACCTCTAACATCTCCCTTTGCAGAGGTCAGGCTGCAAATGAGCTCCTAGCCCTCAAGTGATTTTGTAATAGGCTAAATTCATGTAACAATGAGGTATTTGATTAGAATAGGTTAATCAGAAATAGCTGACTCAATCTGAATAAACTTCTCAGTGGATAAATGCTGAAAATAAAAACAGTAACAATGTCCTTATTGCTTTTGTATTTCTTCAATGTCCATTGTAGGTATTCTTGCAGCTGTCTGTGGCCTCCTAGTATTGCTTTTACCAGAGACAAAGGGAATTTCATTACCAGAGACTGTGGAGGATGTGGAGCAGCTTCCAAGGTATGAGATGTATTTTCTTACTTATACTTGGGTGAGGTTTCCTGAGGATGTTCTCCTCCAACTTTACCAACTCTCATCAAGTATTGACGTTTTCCAGTGTCAAAGTAAATTCCCTAGTTGGGTTGATGCTATGAGCAGGTGGTATTTTTCTCAATAGAAACCTGAACTTTGCAATATCACTAAGGAAAGCTACTAAAAAATGTATGGTGGTAAAACCTGTATTTTTCTCATAGAGATACAAAGCTGTCCTATGCATCTCTGGAAGCAAAAAGCAACAACAGTGCACAAGAGAAGTGCTGCAAAGCATAGCCTGTAACTCTCTGCTTGAGAAAACCAACCATTACCTCAGTCAAAGCATCCTGTGAAGAAGGGCCTCTTATCATGGATGCAATCCCACAATTTGTGAAGTCATTTAACAGTCACATATGAGGTGGATTTATAGCTGAAGAGTTGTAGGCACAGCTTTCCCACTCCTGGCACACAGCAAGCCACACTGCTCTGCAGATATGTGGGGAATATTTGCACCTTGGCTAAATAATTTGAGGTCCTAGTGCTATAAATGAGTTTCAAGGAGAGGCTTTGAATATTACATAACAACTTTTGCCTGATTCAATGTACAAACAAAATAAAGAGCAAATTTTCTATGGAAAAAAAAATAATGTTTCATTACTGCATCTTGGACTGCAATTTAAACTACATATTTTCCCGATTTTTCACACTTCTCCCCTTCTGTTTCAACAGTCATTTTGGAAAATGTGGCAAGAAACAGAAACACCGGGACACCAACTCTTATATTTGACTTTTGAAGGACAGCACTGAGCTAAGAACTTTGTTCCCATACTGAGAATTTGTTCTCCACCTGCCACGGCTTCAAAATTTGCTGCAGAATATGGATTAAACTTCATGTTTTCCTGTAAGCACAAGGACATTTAATACAAGTAGTGTATTTTTCTATGAATATGGAATAAATACTTTTTTTTTTTTTTTTTCTGAGTACACTGTTTGCAAGAAGGGACTGTGGTTTTCCACAGAGAACAGAACAGCTTTAAAAATATGGAATGTCCAGCTCAGTGACCTTGTATTTATTTCTGTATCTATTTGAGACTTTTGTTTATTGTTTTGTTAGGATTTACATTTGTGTGGGAAGGATTTAAATGGTAGTGCTTGTTTAGATGACCTTGAGGAGGAGAGGATGACTGCTTTAACCTGTCCTCCTGTGCCCATGAAGAATTTGGACCAATAGAAGTTATGATGGCTGAAGAAGGAGGACACTGATCAGGGTGACACTTTCCCTGGTTGAGAGGGGTGGAAATCAGCAGTGTGCATTGGGAGAACCTCTCTCTGGTCTGATTGTCATTCACAGGGACCCTTTTCAACAAGAGCCCTTCTTCCCTCCTTGTTCAAGGGCTTTCTGAAATGTGGAAGCAGCCCTCCTCACCTTTCCAGGGCTTTATGTAGGTGTCATTCCCTGCACAGGGCATTAGCTCTGCAGGACAGATTGTCCTGCTGCCCATTAGTGCCTTTCCCAGCACAGCTGGGGTTCATGTGACACCCCTCATCTCTCCAAGGGAAGGGCTTCTGCCTGCTCTCCTCTGTTGAATGCTTTTTCAAACACCTCTTTCAAGAGCATGCTGATTTTTTCCTTTGCAAATTATGCTCTCTGCCCATCTCTACAAACCAAATTCCTGCACCCTCACCACTGCCAAGATGACCTGCAATTTCTGTCTTCTGTTCATTATCACTATTTGTCATCTTTCTGTCTTGGGGATAATTTTTGTGGGTTCTTGACAGAGATGTCCAGCTATCTTGGGCAGGGATGAGCCAGGAGTTTTGGTTATGAAGGGAAATAAGTGTTAATTGGTCCTTTGAAGCTGACATGTAACAGAAAAACTCTCTGGCTCTGTAAGCAGATTCCAGGGACAGACTGCCTTTCCTTTCTCCTGTGTGATCTTTGTCAAGAATTGTGTCCTGGTCACTGACTGGTGAACAATACGCTTCTTGCAGGGAAGGACTTTAAAAGATGTGGCATTCAAAAGGTATCCTGTTACTAACAGAGAAATAAATAAAAGCAAGTCAGCGAGATGTTGTAAAGAGCCTTGTAAGCTCACAAAAAACATGTTTGGCACAAGCAAATACAGGACTGAGTTTGGAAGGTTCATACCACAAATCAGTAGCACTATGGTACAGCCAGTGAAAATGAATGACCAGTGCTCCAGTCTTACCATCCTAGGAGCCCAGCAGGATTTCCTATGGTGAGGAATATGCTGTGTTTTTCAGCAATTCCCAAGTCTCCCTGCCTTTTCCCAGCAACTGCCTTTACCACCAGCCCTTCTGGAGGAAAACAGGACCTTTAATAATAATCCCAGCTTAATGTTTGCACACTTTAGGCAGTTAGTGATAAAGGCCTGTCTTTCAAGGCTGTTTCTAACTTTGAGGCACAGTAGAGGTCAAAGGTATGCTCAGCAAAAGTCAGTAATGACTTAGAGATATGAAACGAAATTAACATCTCACAATATATACAGCTAATCTAGAAGACACCACACAAAAGTGGAGCTTCTGCTACAAGGAGAAAACTTCTAGACCAATACAATCTTCTGTATATAGCTGAAGACAATAGGCCAAGGCTGGCTGGCAGGCACCAGCCCTGAACTGGAAGCTCTGGGCTTGCACTAGCCAGATGCTGTGTCTCCCCAGCCCAAAACTCAGCCCAGCCAGCCCCTACTGAAGGCACCTTGGAGAACCAGGGTGAAGAGATCACATGTGACGCTAGATGAGCTGAACCACCCTCTTCCACTTAGTGTTTCTTCTTTGTGATTTTTTTAAAAATTGGTGTCTTAAGCACTTTAGCAGCTTGAGAAAGATCGCAGAGATCTTTTAAAGCTATGACTTTCCAAATAAATGTGAATAATATTTGACAGCTTCTTCAGTTTGTGGACAACTAAAACATGTTGAGAAATGAGAGATGCAGAGACTTGTTTCCTCCTTTCAGATTATGCTTTGTTTTGCATGTGTTGCTCAAAAGATAATGTAAGTGATAAATTTTGGTAGGTAAAATGGCTAGGGACAGTGTCAGAAGTTTGAATATATTTATTTCTTAAAAATTTGTTTTGTAAAGGATGGCAGAAAAAAGCCTATGCATATGTTTTGACTTCAAATCTAGTAGTGCTAAGCAACTTCATGTGGAGTTTGTATTTGGTCATTACTTTTGTGCTCTTATCCCTAAAAGGGATTTTGTAAATTGAAAAATCTTTCCATCTCTGTGAGACTTTGTGTTGCCTCCTGAAGGTGTAGTGGGTGTGTAACGTGGTGCATGACCAGTGGTCTGGTAATGGTGGGGTTACACTCTTGTGGGCGAGAGATGGCAGATGAGGTGGTGGTACCAGAGGATGAGCTTCAGTGTGAGAGAGCCCCAAGCAAAACCAACTGCATGGAGCTCGATGCATGTGGGCATGCAGGCCACAGGACAGGTTGTTTGTTTAAAAAAAAAGTTATTCTAAATTCATATGTGCCTGCTTAATATTTACAGGAAAGTCCTACAAGCTTCTCAGGAGGTACAGCAGTGTTCTCCTAAGATGCACGTGTTGACACTAAAATGGGCATTGTGACCCAGCTCACTCAGTGAGAGACACCTCTTCAGTGATGGCCTGAACCCTGTCAGCTATAATTGTCCTGCCCATGTGTCCCCCAGAGGCACAGTGACAGAAGTGGGGTACACAAGAGACAAAGGGTCACCATACCACCACCACAGGCACGCAAACAATGTGACCTCAGAAAGCCAGCTGTGGTTTTCCTGTTGGCAAAGAGGTTTCTTGGACCAACAAACATATGGAAGTGCTATTTTGGGTCAAATGTGCCACTGCCACCACATGTGCTGGGTTACTTTATCCAGTCTGTGCAAATGGTTACCAAAAAAAGTGGCAATTTTTATTGCCCCTGACAGTCTTGCAGAAGGAAAAGACCACAACTGGCACTGTTTGAAGCGTTATGAGGTGGGACTTCTGTGGCCCCTCAGGCATATTCAGGCATTTCTATCCAGCTTGGCAAGGAGCGCAGGGCCAATGCTTTCTCTGTCTATAAGCCAGGTATTAACTATGCCTTCAAGAGTTCACATCTGAAGAACTTAACAAATCAAAGTCCAAGCTGCAACACAGAATTTCTGTTGTCAGGGAAGAACTGTACAAATCTCTTGCCTGGCTTAATGACCAAAGTGGATATATATGGGAAATATGCAGGAGGGTATTTGTGCTCAGTGGATCCCTCTGACCAGACAGGTGGGTGGTGTGTGCTTTATCAGAGCTGCTCCTGCTCAGGAAGGCAATGCCCTCAGATTATTTCATCTCCCAGAATCAGACTCCAGATGTAGAAGCTTCAGAAATCACCCTGCTACCTAACTATGCTTAATAGTTCTCATCTCCCTTTAAGGCACTGGGAGAAAAAAACCAAACCAAACCAAAACTCCTAGGATGCAACATATCCCTTCTGCATGTGCAAGCTTACAAAAAAAAATAAAGTAAATTTTAAAATGACGTGCAGTTTGGCTTGTCTGGGAGTGGGGAAAATGGACAGGACAAATCCCACCCCAGGAAGAAGCTGTGTTACTTGGAACAGCCTCAGCACACCCTGGGGATGCCAGAAGGACTCTGTGCAGAGCTGGGGGTCTCCAGATGCCTGTGGGGAGCTCCCTGCTTTATCTGCCAGAGGCAGGATGTGAGCAGGAGTTCATAGTCAGCAATTGTTTCACTTTGGCAAGTACCAGTCAAGCTTTCCCTGGAAAGAATTTTGAAAGGTATAAGCTTAGACTCCCTATAACCACATGTATACATCATCTTCTTTTAGAGGAGAAAAATGTACATCTAACAATTATGTAGTCAGATAATGTTATACAAAGAAATAAGGGTACTATGGGTACACAATTTTATAATATGTAGATGCATTGTCACTATTTGTGGTACCTATTGACAGCTATTTTATTTTCTTTACTAGGGACTAACTTCAGGGTGAGGCTGTTTTTTTATTCACTGTTTTATATCTTTGATACAACATTTATTCTTTTGTGACACATGTATTTCCATGATGATAAAAAATACAAAAACACAAACCAAATGTGTTTCCTTCCTTTTTTTTCCCATCCCATGTATTTAATGCTATCAGGTATATCTAATAAAACTTCACAGGCGTATAAGATATGTACTATGAGATTCTTCTTTGGTTTGTAGCATCAAATTGATAATAGGTTCAGACAACTCATAGAAAATAAAAAGTATTCTCATTTCTTCATATGTTAGAAGCAGAACATCTTGAAAATGATGACCTTAAAAGAAAATGTCATTGCAGAGCTAAAAAAAATTTAAAATGCAAGTGTCCAGTTACAGTTAAGGTTGGAATTTTCAACATGTATTTCAGAGTCTATTGTCAGACATAGCAAACAAACTATAGAACATATAGAAAGAGGGTAACAGACTGGCAGCTGGGCTTCTTGGCAACGACTACTAATTTATAGCAATTTAAAATGGATGATCATATTTGTTTTGCTTTCTTATGAATGATTGTAGCTTTAATATTGCACTTGGAATCTTGTATTTCTGCCGTGCATGCTGCTTTCCAGGAGAGGGCAGTCCATACCCAGGATCAGTTGTTTTCCATCACACTTTTAATCCAAGGAATATAGTTGGAGACTCGAACATAAACACCAGGTTTCATGGGTTGGGCACAGCCAAGGCCCCAAGAGGTGACTCCATGTTGGACAAATTTATCTTGATCCAGACATACCAGAGGTCCTCCACTGTCCCCCTAAACAGCAAAAGAACAGGATGATTCCTTCTTGGACAGACCCATGCGGCCTTCCCACAGGAGGCACAGAAATAGAAGTACCTCCAACATGCAAAGGACACAGGAATTATAAAGAAACATTGTAATTCTAGCAAGGTAAGAGTTCTCTATGCATGTTGTTGAACACTTTTATAATAAAAGCCCTCTTCATGTCACTTAGGCATTACATTTATTTCTGAAGTAAGGGGATTTATTGAAAAATAATCTGGTCACCCTTGTTAACTTAAACTGTGCTTCCTCCCTCAGTTTCTTTTCTGAGGTCTTCATGGGTTTCTGTTGTTACTAGATGATCCAATGGCACCGATACTTGGAAGTTCATAGTTCCTTTGGCCCTTGCTTAGCCTGCATGGCAGGCTCCTCTGCATCCTTCCTCGACTGCTAACTGAGATGCTGTTAACTGAGCTAGCTTGGACATTGGACGTAATCTGGTTGAGGCTAGCAAGGGGGCCTGGGGAAAGAAAACCAGACCTTTTGTCATTCTAAGTTGGCTTCCACACACCTGACTTGTGCAGCTGTGTGTTACCATGCACTCTGGAGTTCAGACTCATCTGAAAAATTGCCCCACTTCCCAGTAGCAGACAAGGGAGCAAGGAAAGAGAATACATGGGCATTTTTCAGCTCAGATACATGTGGTGTGGTAACATCCTGAGGATAATTCTGGGCCTCTAAAGCCCAAAAAAAGCAATGCCCTATTTGAACTGAATGTGCTTACAACCGACTCTCATGCTGACAGACTTTCTTACCTGGCAGGTATCTGTGCCACCATGAATATTCCCAGCACAGAGTTCGTGCTTTTTAACTCTACCATTCAAAAATTCAGGGCGGTTGCATATTTTATTCTCGATTACAGGAAAGCCAGTTTCCTTTAAGTAGCCCCCACCAGAGGTACCTTTGCAAATAAAAATGAAATGAAAAGAATGAAATGAAAAAAGAATGAATGACAAAGGTAATTATCATATTCACAACACACAAATATCAGGATATGGATAAGCAGTAAAATCAGCATAGTGTGCACTGTGTATACACTTCCCAGGCCCAATATGAAGATATATCAAAATCAGTAAGCATTATCAGGATTATGGTATGCTTATCACCTTCTACCACCCACTATTGACCTTCCTGTTCTCATAATACATCCATGTGGATCCAGTACCCACAGATACTTGGGAGTCATTCCCAAGCCATTTTATTTCTCTATATCTGAATTTTGTGTGGAAGAAATTAGGTAGGAAGCAAACAGTAGAAAATGGCATGATGGGCAAGGAGGCAGAGAAGGTACCAATGCACTTTTGAACCAAGACAGAGTGAGAGGTTTTGAAAATGAGGGTTTTATTCGTGTGAGATGAGAACCATCCTGGCTGGGAGGAAGAATCACTCAGGAAAATGAGAAAAAAAGGGTTTCAGTTTACATGACTGTAACTGAGGGTTTCAGTTTACATGGCATTGAACAATTTAGGAGAATCTGTCAGAGAGACAGTGGGAAATTTGGCAGCGAGCACCTGATGAATTTTGATGAAACAACTTTTTCATCAATAGCTTGTGTGGGACACAAGAGAAGGCACACTTTGGATACAAGTATATACCAGTCTGCAAACATGGAGCTTTTAAATGTGTTAATGCTGTCTCACCTTTTGTGTCTCCCCAGCCTGTCACATAACACTCCTCTCTTCCTCCTAACACAGAGTTTTCTTTTGGTAAACAAACTGGGATTACATGATTATTAATGACAGCTGGTCTGAAATGAACAAAGGGGAAAAATCTTTAGCACAATTATACTTAATACTAGGTTCTAATTCAGGATTCTAAAAAGGTTTTATATATATTTAGCCTTTTATCATTTAAATTCTTAGTTTCAGTTGAGGTTTTTTTCTGACATGCATAATTGCTTTTTAGGCTCTAAACCCACAGAAAGTGATACACACGAGAAAAGTCTGAAATGGATAATGACATAAAAAGAACCAACAATAATCCAGGAGAATGCTTTGACTTAGGCTAATACACAGCAAACAGAACCTAATCACAGAACTATTACAAAAGGTATAATTTAGTGGCCTTTAACACCTAGGTGTTAGCTTGCTCTTTCTGCATCCAGTCTGATTTGAAATCGCTTTCTGTCAGGACACAGCACACAGCAGAACCTAAGTCCATCTGACTTGCCTTTGGGTGTAGCAAAGAAGACCACATTTTTAAGCTGATTCTGCATCTGTTTCAGACATGCACTGCAGCCACAGCACTGAAAGCCCAAGCACCACACATTCACATCCACTTGCAGCTGCATGAACAAATTCCTTTGGATTGCACAGTTCCACAGAGGGCATTTCCAATGAATGAAAATGGATACTGGGCATTACATCAAATTCTTTGCCTGCCCACTAGCCAGCCCTGCTGGAAGAGGAAATCTCCCCACCACAGCATGGAAACAGCATGGAGTGGCATCATGCTAATGTTGCAGGTTTCAATGATCATTACCTTATCAAGGTACAAGCATGTAGAAACACAGACTGGAGGCTCCTCTTGGCATTACCTCCTCCTATTCTGCTGCCACTGCCTGACCTTGCAGCAGCCGACACCCAGTGCATTTCCAGCCTGGCTAACTGTCCCTAGCCCTCCTCCCCTCCCAAAGGCAGCCTTTCCCTTTCTGAAACCCAGGAGCCTCTGCAGAAAGGGAAGAAAGAGGGGGTCTCAAACCACTAACTGAACACAGAGTATGCAGAAACACTAATTTCTACAACACCAGCAACCACTTTTTAGTTATCTTGTCCCACCAGAACAAAGGAGTGCTTCAGGTAAAAAGGTACCTGCTCAATTTGAGCAGAGCAATATCTGCTCTGCGTGGCTCCTTGATCAGCTTCTCTACATCACGAATTTGTACTGATGGCTCTGTTGCTTCTTCTCTGTGTAATCCAAGGTATACTTTATATGCAGCTGGTCGTGAGGACCTATTGGAAATGATTGCACATGGTGAGCTGATGAATACACAACCAGAACAGAGACCACTGACAATGTCACTGAGCACCTTGCTCTATCAAAGCCAGATAGCCGGCTTTGGAGTAAACTTAACCCCTTATAATGGCACTTGAAATCAAACTGGCAGGAGTTATCACTGTCACTCTGCTTTACAGTCAAAATTCTGCTTTAATGAATGACAAATAGACTTGGCTCAATTCTCAACTGCTTGCAAGCTGTTTGCAACCAGCCTGGGTTGGTTATTGGGTCTCTTGTTTCTCCTGTTGTTTTCTATTTCACGTAAGCAGTTGCTGGTGGAGACTATAACAGATACTTACTTTTCTAAGCAGTGAGCAGCAGTAAGAACCCACTGAGGATCTATCAGAGTTCCCCCACAGAAATGCATTCCATAACTGTAATAGAGCAAAATATCATGAAAAGGGCAGTGGTTTAAGATGGGGAAGTTAATCCTACTTTATTTTATCAGGTAATATTTCTAATATGTGTGCCTTTACAAACTAAAGACATTACTCCACAATTTCGTTAAGAAATGTTTTGCTTTCCTAGAATAATGCTTTTTGCAATGACAGTAAGAGTCTGTGGACATTTTTAGGAGGCTTTGTATGAAAACACCTAGATCTTCATTCTTGGTCAGTGTTTCTATTACTGGAAAACCTTGTGTGCAGTGAGGTTCACCATTTTAGAGATTTTGACTTTTTCTAGCTCTAATCACAGTCATAAGGCTCTGCAAATGGCCCTGATTCCCAGTTTTATTAATAATTTTGCCGTAGCATCAAATATTTACATGGAAGGACTGATCAAGAAATGTACCAGCCATACTGTTGCTTTCATTCATTGGAAGCTGATTCTATTGTAGAATATAGTGACAGATTTAAAGTCATTCTGCCTTCTACTGAAAGTGCTTTTGAAATTAACAATTAACAATTGATTTGTCACAAAATAGTGTGTTCTCAGTTGTCTAAATGACCTTCTTTAAGAATAGCACACACAATGTTTAGCCTTGAGCTATTTTTAAATTAAAATCAAGTTTAGAATGCCTGAACCACTTTAACACTGTATGAGAGGCAAGGTTTCCTTGCATGTGGAGTCCAATGTAATGGAATAACCATACCTGGTACGGAGGCTGATCTGCCAGGGCCAGGAGTGTGGATGTGAAACACACCCTGCAACAATCCTTTGAGCACACAGTTTTGGTCTGAACTTGGATTTCCCACATTCATACTGAGGAGGAGCTTCAGAATAAGGAAAAAACATCACTGTAAAGAACTTAAGTGATTTGCTATATATTCACTATGAACTCAGTGAACTAGAAGGTGAACCTGTTACATTTGCTACTTCAGCTTCTGATTCTCTTCAAGTAATTCTATACCATACATCACATATATTTTGTTAGGTTACCTTCATCTGGAACACCTAAAAAAGCCTAGTAAATTTTTTTTTTCACATACAGTTCTCAGTGGCCAGTAAATTATACATGAGTAGTTCTACAGTCAGATAGAAAAAAACCCCAAACAAACCCAAAACAAAAACAGAAGGGGAAGGAGAAGAAAAGAGTCAAAAAAGAAATAAATTCTTCCAACATTCTTAAATGTCTCTTATGGACGTCAGCAATGCAGAAGCTGCAGTGGCAGTTGTTTTAAGCTAAACTTGGTGGTACAGCACGTGAAATTCTAATGCTGTCTCTGAGGAACAAAATTTTGTCAACTCTTATTTCAGGATCATTTGGCATTTCAGATGTCTCTGAGTTATTAAAAAAGTAGTTCTTATTTGGCCTTGATGAACTGAATCTTATCAACACAGAATGTAGAATTTTGTCAGCAAAAAGAGCTAACTAAAGAAATGAAAGGAAAAAGCCATGTTTCCTCTGTTCTTTAGATTACCTTCTCAACAAAAAAACCCTCAGTAATAACTTAAAGAAGAAATGGATCATCAAAATACAATACAATAGTGATGTGAAAATGTGACTTTTTTTCTTTAAGAGTCCCAGCCCAACACGTTCACTGCAGTATGACTTTCACAGGTCCAGTGTGTTTACAACAACAATTTTCTTTTTCTTCTTTGCTCCTTTTTTGGGTTTTGATCTGAGCATATTTTCTTCTGCTTACCACTGAGGGGAAGCAGCAAGAAAGTCACCCTTTTTTTGAGAGCTACCTCCCTTCATAGCATAGCTTTTGTAGTTGATAGACATGAAAGAACTGGAAACCAAAATGTTATCAAGCTTTATCATTGTACACTTTGTTGCAACACCTCATTCAGAGCTTGATTACTACTAACAAAGACAAAGGGCATTTGGTTAAATGTTTAGGGTCGGATGCATTTTGCAGACACCAGATATGGTACAATATCAGAGGAGGGACAATCTGGTTGTCATCCAGAACAGAAGCAGAGCCACATGAGCAGGGACTGCAAAGATTTTGCTGGTATAAGAGTGTGCCTTGTTCAGCAAGGCCACACACAGAGTTATGCCAGGAGATTAGGCTGGGGCAGGGAAAATTTCTGCTGGAACTGCCCATTTTGAAACACATGGCAAAACCCCATGAGCTTCAGTGGCCTCCATAGCTTGTGGTGCATTTGGGGCTTTCAAGGAAGACCAATCCTAAGTCTTCAGACAGAGACCCTGAGAACATCACTTCCCAAGAGCCTGAATTTCTAATCTATATCTATTGCACTTAGATCAGTATTTCAGACTAAACACCAAGTATTCTTCAGCTGTTATAAAAAGGTACAGGAAAGAGAGACACTAGAATTTAAGGGAAAGGGAGAGACTAGTCTTTAAAGGAATAATTACGGCACTTGGGAATGTCACAGTACTCCCAGGCTTTTCTTGGGTCTGTTGTGTAGCACCAAGGTCCATTCACATCTCCATCAGGATTCCTGCAATACTGTAATAAAGAACAAAGGCACCAGCTATTAAACAGGGAATAAAAAGGCCAACTAACTAAAATTTCAAAATAAAATAAAATAAAGTTTGGAAATAAAAAAAAATATTTCCCATTCTTATAAATTATTTCCAATTCCTTTTGTCAAAATTTATTTCATTTTTCCATTTGCTCTGTGAGTTTGGAAAAGTATAATAAAAATCACACCTCTTCAACTGTCTTCAGACATTAAGCTTCACTAGGGCAACCTTGGATCTCTGAGATCTCAAAAATTAGGAGATCTTGACTTTGGATGAAGCTTTCTAAGGCACAGAAAATATCTACTCCTGCTTTCCCTGCAGTTAATAGGAGCAGTAGGATCAGTCCTGAGGTCTTTCCACGTCCACTCTGGCTGCATGACTCAGGGACAAGTGAGTGTTGTGTAAGCTGCTCTTGCTCAACCTGGTGATGCCTGGCAGGGCTGCAGTGTTCCCCCTCACGCAGGTGCTGGTTAGCTGAATCGCTCTCTAGGTTTTCCCTGGGCATACTGACTGATCCCTGCTCAGCACAGACACTTCACACAACTGCATGCTACCAGGTACCTTTTCCAGCTCCCTTCCCTATCCTGAAACATATACCATGTCTTAGAGAAAAGGAGAAAATATTTACTACCAAGAGCCCCTGACAAATGCAAGAACCAAGAATTTATGACAGGCAGCTTTTTAGAGGGAGTTTCCCCAATCTGGAATTCAATACAGGGTATGTGATGCCATCAAAGAATTGACTAAAGCAAGTTCTAAAGTCCTCTACCTGGTAAAAAAATAGTTCAAGCTGTCAACATCAAACAAGCTCTTTATATCACATACAAAGCTTGTCACAAATCAGGCAAACACTGTAAATGGGATGTTACAAGTCTAAAGAACTGGTGATGAGTACATTTGTTAGGACTAGGGAGGTGAAGGTTAGAAAGGGAGATTGCCTTCCAGGATGGTCAGGTACACGTATAGCCCTGAAAACTGGGCCGTGGCAGAAGCTGGAGGGCTGAAGGGGAATTACTGGGGCATGGGGGCCTACAATCCATCAGCTGTGTATCTCAAGGAACTTGCACCAAACATTGGATTCATCACCACGTCACCTGTCCCTGGTACTACTGACACCTGTGAGCCCCAGTGTTCTTTCAGTCAGAGGAGACAGAGGCACTGCCCAAAGACCAACTCTGGTTAGCCCTCAGTAGTGAGGAGAAGAAAGGGCCCATCTGGAGCCCCTTGGATGTGCTGCAGAAGCATTCACTAGAGCTTCTGGGCATCTCTGTGTCCCACAGTGACCACACTGGTCATGTCAGCGTGGTCATATCATGATCAGGTTTTTGGACTGAACTGAGGGAAAGAAATTAACAAACACCTGTCACCAAATGCTTGCTGAGGGACCCTGAAAAGACAGGCAAAGCTCAATGGCAACAAGTATTAAATGAACAGTTGTTTACATTTTTTTCCAGGCCTGCTCTTGGATGAGTTGTGGGAGTGAAATAGTCATGGCTATGAGGTCTCTGAGAACTCCAATCTTGACAAGTCCTGCCTCTTGCAGTTTTTGCCACTGTGCCACGGTAGTCTACACCATTTTCAATAATGCACTCTGTGAAAAATGAAGGAAAGGAAATGGTTGTTAGCTGTGAGCTGTTGGGCCATGTCCATACTTGATGGTGGTGAAGCAGAGATAAATTTGAGGAAATACTACTACAATTTACACATCCTACATATTATGTAGATGAGGATAGAAGGGCTACATAGTGTCAAGGATGACTAACAATGATATTTTAATTTCCTTGCATCTTAAAAATTTTCTTCATGATCACAAAAGTCATAAATAAAAGAAACTTACATTCAGTCAATCCTTCAAGACTCCAGAAATCAAGACTACAAAGACCATGCATTCATAAAGTATTTTCCTTGCAGACACTGATATCTGTCCAGTGCCACATTTTACAGTAGGTAAAATGCAGTAACACATATTCAGCCAAAATTATCAACCTTCTAACCAGTGAAACATGTCACAGCAAAAAAAAAAAAATTAAACAAAAAGAAAGCTGCAGCACTCTAACCATCTACTGCCTAACAGGGTTGCATCTGAACTGAATCAAAAAAAGTCAGCTGTCCTCTGATGGTAAGTGGAACCCTAGAAATGTGAAAGCATGGCACAGGAAAAGAGTTTTTGGAGCAGGTGTCAGCAAAATGCCATCACTGCTCCATTTTCTGTCATTGCTAGTTGCCCTCCCACAGTAGTGAGGAGACTAGTAGCCACCTGCTTCCTTGTTTTTCCAATATTGCCAGAAGTAGCAAGTAAAATATATGACATTAGCCTAAAATCCAGTGCAGAAATCCTGCTATAAAATTCTACAAAAATGCTCAGAAAATTAAGAGCGTGGATACAACACTGTATTAAATTCCGTGTTTCATCCTCATTAAATTCTTGAAGGTGTTTCCATAAAAACCAGCTTCCTAGTTATGAGCATTTCTGGGGAAGCTGAAAGTATTCTTACCAGGGTTTCTTTCTGGTGTTGTCTGAGGAGGCTTAGGTACAGTCTCTGGCCCTTGGTCATCACACTTCTTCAGGTCACAGTATTCCCACCTCACCCTGGGGTTGGTGGTGTAGCACCATGGACGGCTGTCGGCATCCGGGTTTCTGCAGTAGTTTTGGCTCAGGCCCCTACAAATGCAAGCATATTATATTCCTATCCATGCCACTGCCCTGGGGAGAGCTCAAAAGAACATTTTAGAAAGCAGATCTGCTTCGGAGTTAGCATATGCCATTTATCATATATATTCTGTCATGGCCAGTTGAAATCGTTTTTACAGCAGAAAGAAATCAGGACACATACATTAAATTAATGCATAGAAACAGCTCATTTCAGCATAAGGGAAAATTTATTATAACTATTAATTGCCTTAGGAGCAATGTAGAAACACACAGTTAATTAGTCTAAAGTATAATAGTGACACCTGTGGTTTCTTTCAAGATGAAATTAATAAAAAATATTTCCATGATAAAAGAAGAAGGAAGGGATTATTTTTATCTAGTACACTCCCAGCTTTATAATCATTGTTGTGCAATGATGATGCAAATCAAAACAAGTTCATGAATGACCACTGCCCAGTGAAACCTGGAAATGGGAGATACACATACGCATTGGGGAAGTTCTCTGCCGTTTTGTTGTGCCGGTGAGGTGACATGGAGCTCCAGGCTTGGCACTTCTTTCCCGTGCGAGTGAAAGAAGCTGTACCACGGTAAGTCACCCCATTGCCCCGATAGCACTCCTCAGTGACTTCAGCCTGCTCAGGCACATCAACAGCTGTAGTGAATAACAGAAACCAATCGCTTGCATCTTGATACTTTGACATTTATACTTGAGCATAGAAAGACAACAGAAAACAAGAAGCCAAAGTACTTCACTGACCACGCTCTCTGTAACAGAATCCTTCTCAGACAGTAGATCAAAAGGAAGATTTCAAAAGAGCTTGCAAAAATTTAATGATATGCTAGATTAAAAGCACTTGTACTTAATTTTATGGTTCCACATGGGGATTTATTTCAGACAGCGAGCCAAATAGTTAACATATGGATCAAAATTTTTTCAGGATGGGGGCTGTCTGTGTCTTTGCCATACACCTATGTGTGGAACAAGACTACCTTGTGTTAGGAGAGTTTTCTTCTCATTGTTTTCTATGGAGTCTTGGTTCAATGCTCCTAAGTCATCTTAGGTTTTTGCTACAGATTCAGTTTTTAAGGAACTGGCATGTAAAGCTAACTAACTTTTCCATGGAGCATTTAAAAATATATCAGTGGAGGTAACCACCACTGGGCAAAATGAAAAGACTTCTTTTACTGCAAAATTTCCTGATCCGAGGCAGCAGCTGACTAAAAACCTTCTGCACTTAGCCACCAGACTGAACACACCAGCCTGGGCTCCACATCAGACCCAGGAGTTCAACTAGACACGGCAATGCCAACAGTGCAACTGAACAGAGTCACATGAGATTTTTCAAAATAAACCATGATGACCCTTCTCTTCCACTTGTCTCCTGTTCTTACCAGGGGCCTCTGGCTTGGCACTATCACAGGAGGGGACGTTGCAATATTCCCACCGGGCAGTTGTGTTGGTGGTGTAACACCACGGCCTCTTCTCACCATCAGGATTTCTGCAGTAGTTTTCATCTAGGCCCCTAGAACAGAAAACTTGACTGATAAAAGTCTCCCTTGGAAATCTATTAAAAGTTATGAATAAATGGAGAATCTCTTGCTGCCTAGTTTAATGTTGTATTCACTGATGCTATTTGTTACACGAATAATTGCAATTTGCTGGTGTTTTGGATGTGCTAAACCAGATACCTGCACGACTGATGGATGAATGAAGAGACTGTAATACTTTTGAAGTCAAGAGAAGCACAGCAGAGAGAATGTGAAAGAATCTAGCCCCAAGCAAATATCATAACTGTACCCTTCTTACTCCACATGGTTTCATCTGAGCAACCATACAGTAAAAGGATTACATAAGGAGGGAAAAAGTCAGCCAAGAAGAGCTTGAAAGTCAGAAGAGAAGACACCTGTATTGAAGAACAAAGAAGTCAATAAAAAGAAATGTATGAAAAAATTGAAAATATGAGATCCAGCAGATGATGGATGCTGGTGTAACTGAAGAACTTTGCAATACAGATGAAGAAAACGGAAGTAACTTTGAGACTTGGTATTTCTCGTGGACACTGAACAACAGAGGGGTTTCACTTACTGGCAGGGATAGTTTTCAGGAGTGCGAGCGTGTCTGTGGGGAGACTGAGAGCTCCAGTGCTGACAGGTATTTCCTGACTCAGTAACAGATATTGTGCCTCGATAGTCTTCTCCTCTTCCTGAGAGACACTGGCGTCCTGGTGCAGGAGGTGGTGGGGGTGTTGCTGTTACAGAAAAAGGAACTGAAATTAATCACTGCTTTCTAGATACAGTAAAAAACTAAACCAACAAACCACTCTGGTCTTTATAATTAGGCAGGTTTTTTTAGATTTCTTTGCAGGTAAGTTCTAAATATAAAAATATTTGAAAAGTCCAAAAGGCAGATAAAAGATCTAAAGATATCTTTCTTAACTTTTCTTTCTCCCATTTTGAGTTTTCACAAGCAGTCAGGCTGCCAGAAGGGCACTTGCATCTGCCTCTTTACAGCAGCCAGGATACAATCCAGGATATAAAAGTCATGATATGAAAATGCTAGCAGCCTCATCAGAACAGAGCTGGAAAGTGAGCAAGTGGTAATACTGTGAAGAAAACTGGAGTGAAAGTGTCTGGCCCATCAGTGATACAGACAGGTGCACGTGTAAAATAGACATACTGGTGAGAGACAGCAAGGATGAGGTCTAATGAGAAGTCCCAAGGAAAAGTATAATGGCAAGGACAGACCTTTAGGGGAAAAGAAAACTGAAAAGGTAGAAAATTCATTTGGAAGAGCAAAACAAAAGCCCGAGTATTTTCAGGAAGAGTGAAACTTCTTGGTATCAAAAGACGAACATCAGAAGAAACACCAGAAATGCTTGGTTATAGGAATACCCATCAAGGAAGGGAGATGTGCTCCAGACAAAACCATTAGAAATGCCTATGACAGAAATGTCTAGCCTCAATAAAGCCATCAGAAGTTCATTTTAAAGTGATTGTTTTTTTTAATTTGAGATAAAATTCAGCTGTCTTTTATACTTTTCTTTATCTTTGGGATCTCTTCTGTTTGTTCTAGACCCTCACACCACTCTGAGTGGGAGAAGTCTAGAAGCCAGACTCACTGCAACGAGGAATGTCACAATATTCCCAGCGTTTAGTTGGACTGGTAGTGAAACACCAGGGCCGAGGTTCTCCATCAGGATTACGACAATAATTATTCTTCAGATCCTTCTCTGGAAAACTGAACCAGAAAAATAAGATTTTTAGGTTTTAAAATATGCTAATAGCTGTAACAATTATCCTGTCTGGTGCAGCGTGGTCTTCAGCCCATGACTGGTGATACTATCACAGAACCTGACTCACTTTTCCGGGAGGTATCCATGGGAGTGAGGTTCCTGGGAGTCCCAGCGCTGGCACTCAAGCCCAGATGTTGTTGTTGCAACTACTCCACGGTAGTTTTCTCCACTGCAGTGCATGCACTCTACTGTAGGAACAAGGCAGAATAAGGACAAGAAAGACAGAAAGCTCCTGATGAACTGGTCCAGAAACATTCCCACTTGTCCCACATGAAGCACAAGAGCCTGATCAGAGCACGAGGCTGAAGTACAGCCATTTTTTTGGCAAAGTAAAATCTTATTTTCCTTGGTAAGATGACTTTAACTAGTTGATTACATTTGTAGTATTCCATTAAAAGAAACCCCAAACCAACATTACAGACTACAGGCTTTAAAACAGATAAATTGAACCTATTAAGATATAATTTAAAATCTGTTCTTTGCTACTGTCACATTTTATTGAGTTTTGCACAAGCAAATGTTATTTGGTTCAATTCTAATTTTATGATATATGAATACACCCATATGCCTTTTTTATCTAGGGGGAAAAAGAGGACACTGTATTGCTGTTTTCAGGGTCTTTTGATATCTTCCTTGTTGACGTTGAAAATGCTTTGGAAAGTTTCGCGTTGAACTAAATTCAAGTTTGAAACAAATGCTCAATTGAAAATAAAAGTGTCTGAATAACTTCACATTCTTGAACACGTCTTGTAAAAATTGGAAAGAAGCCGGTATGTGTGTCCTGACCTTCACACTCAGGGATGTTACAGTAGTCAAATCTGGTATCAGGATCTGTTGTGTAACACCAGGGTCCCTTTTCATCTGCATCAGGATTTCTGCAGTAGTTTTCCTCCAGTCCTGCTCTGGGATATTTTTCAGGTGTGTAACTGGAACAGAATTAAATGAGATTACAAAATAAGGAAAGCATCCCAATTACTCAGCTAAGGGCTCATCCCAATTATTCAGCTAAGGGCTCTAAAAACAAAATCTTTATCTGAGGACAATTTTGTAGATGTTGGTCTTTAGAGGGCCCCTAACAGTTACTGTGTGCCATTGCTGAAGCATTAGAAGTGCTACAATGATAAATTCAGGAATTACAGTGCCTCTATGGCCAGTTATGCCTTTAATACTTGCATTTTCTTTCACTATTGGTCTCCAGCAGTTATTGCTCAGGCAGGGTACCATGTGGCATGTAGTGAACAGCTTCCTCTGGGATATGTTCCCTGGGAGATGCAATGAGACTGTATTTGCTGAAATGTGAGAGTCCTCTGTAAGATGAATGCTATAGCTTCTTAATAGAAGGTTACTAAATAAACCCAGTTTGGTGTTTTTTACTAAATACAAGAAATGCTGCCTTGTTAATTGTGAATTCACTGATAAAATGATGCACCTCTATCTTGTCTGCCACATGTTATACCTTTGGCCAAGAGAAAAAGTTCTTGCTCTGGTGAGATTACTGAAAAATTCTGATTTCAGCAGAACCAGATGTTTCTCTGTCTAGAGTTTTGCTCATGTAAAGCCCATAAAATTTAAATGTGACTCCCAAGGCTGACAGTGTCTCTGTTGATCATGTAGCGCCACTAAGAGGTCTCTGAGTAACAACTCAGACTAGAGATTTGTCTTTTTATAGATAGGTATAGAAAAATATTTTATAAGGAGATTTTCTAACATCAAAAAAATTGCTTACAAGACAAATTAGCACATATGCATGGATTAACAAAGTTTCAGAAAAACATATAAACAGATACAAAAAGACCTTACTTTGGTTTATGTGGGGAATTATCAGCCCACTTTTGGCACTGCACACCCTTCTGAGTTTTGGCTTCTGTTCCTCTGTAATCCACTCCTTTTCCCTCCTTGCATTCTAGAAGATAAACTGAAATGATATGTGCTTAATCAGTATCACGGCCCATCCATTGGATTCTAACATACACAAAATCCATTTTCATGCCAGCACACTTAAATATGTTTGATCATATTTTGACTTTCTTATGTTCTCAAAACTAGACACTGTACATTGTAAAAAACCTGCTAGATAGCTGATGTCTAAGTTGAGTTCATTGGGACTGAAAAACGTATGTGAAAGCAAAAGAAGTTCTACACCAGCATTCCAGGGAAATAAGTGTAACACAACCCAGTTATTTTGAGAACAGGCCACAGTAGATTTAAATAATAAAATATGCTTTAAACATTTAAATAGATACTATAAAAAATAAAAACACATTCTATTTTCTTACCTCCTATGAGATGATTATAGTTATGCACAGTAATTCAAATCTATTCTTTAAAGACAGTTGCCCGAATTCAGCTGAAGACAAGACAGCTGCAGTTTAGGGACAGTCACTGTTAGGCAACGAGTCCTCTGGCTGAGAAATCTAAGTAGGAAACTCATTTACTATTTCCCTGGGAAAGCAATCTGTCTTTTAGGTTGTGATGTGGTTTGTCTCAGTGTCTTTTAAGTAGTGTCCAAACTGAATACTCAGTAGAGTTTTGCAAGTTTTTCTCAGCATCAAAGTTGTAACAAAGCTGATGTACAAGCAGAAGATTAACAGAAATCTTGAGAAATAATGCCATTTTACACAGACCTTCTTGCCCACAGTGAAAAGAAGTAATATTTGATTCCAAAATATGGTTCAGCATTTCTGAGGGCTGATATTTTAGACCTGAATTTATAGATGCACCCTTAGGAATGCTTTTATTTCAATGTATATATAGAGGCAAGTTTACCCTAGAAACTTTAGCTGGAAGCCATTTGGATCTCTCAAACAATTTTGCAATAAAATAACATTAAACCCCTCAATCACTGAACATTGAATCAGTCAAGTGCTGACTCTTCTTGTTTGTGTAAACTTTTGACCGTTTATATAACCTTTAGGGCTTTTCCTTTCTGATGACAAATTACTAACTTTGATCCCCAAACTCAACCCGTGTCCCTTGGGTTAACTATTTCCAAACAGTTATGTAGGTAACAATTCCCAAATGCAGCTTTAATTCTTCCTACTTTTTACTGTAAGTCAGAGAAGATTAACTTTCTCTTTTATAGCACATACTATAGAAAAAATAACTTCTGAAACTGTCAGTTTTATAGTAATTGCCATCCTTTTTGTTGAATGCAATGATAAATAGCAACTAGGTCTCATCAAGTAATTGCTTAGACTGAAAAAATTACTGCAAATACAAAAATTAGCAACAGAGACACCATCTCACACACACAGTAGGCTGTGTTTTTGATGTTTATGTACCAAGGTCCATCTCTTGGTTTCTGCAGACAGAGGTGCAATTTTCAGAAATTTTATTTTGTCAAACAACAGTTTTTCACTGTTTTAGTGGTGTGTTTCTGTTATTTCAAGAAACTAAAACACATGTCTATGGCCCCAAAACACGTAGTAACAAATCCCCAATGAGTATTGCAGTACCAGGTTCTAACTTCAGTAAATCCAAGGGATGTCTCAAAAATAAACCAAAATCAGAATCTAGCTCCTGATCACAATAAGAAAAACCACTATGACTATTTACATATAACTTGCTCATTCAGTCTTTTAGCTTTGTTACTTGTTAATTGATCCACTCAGTTTTCCTTCTAAATAAGAACTGCAGAAGATTTCTTAGCGTTACTTAATAGTGATTTATAGAAATTCCCACCTGCTTCTATGTATAATGAAAGAACTAATGTTCTAAACCTTAAATTACCTACAGAAAAAAAGCAGCTGGCCAAAGGTTTCAGAAACTATTAGGTTGAAAAGGACGCTCAGTTGTCTTTGGTCCATAGCCCCAGAATAGCACATTCAGGTTCTAAGGTGAGTGAGACTGCCCAGAGCTGCGTCCAGCCAATACCTGCAAGGGTGAAGGCTCCTCAGCCTCTCTGGGCAATGTGGCCCAGTACTTACACACCTTTCTGTGAAAAATTACCTCCTTATCTTCCTTATCAGGCACTTATCCACAATGCCTGAACAAAATCTCATTTGGATGTTCAGCTGCAATCCAGCTAAAGCTCTTGAACTACTATCTGACATCTCCTTGCAGCTGCTGCACAAACAGCATTGTCTTAGCCCACAGGGAGGGATAAGCCACCAAGGTCAACAGAGAAGTAAAGACGAATTTCTCTGGAGCTCACGGGTATTTACTGTCAAGTTATTGAGATTCTTGCCTTTTGCTTAGAAACTGGCCCATCAAAACCACTTACTGATCTTCAGCAGCTGAGAACCTGGTTCATTTTGTATTACTAAAGTCAATGAACAGCACAAAGAAATTTATGCTACATTAAAAATAAACCACATTCCTTCTTCCCTGTATACAGCAAGAGCTCTATGCTCAATAATGTAATTCAAAAATAGTCTTAAAACCCAACTGTTTCCCTGCATCTGGCATAAGGTGATAATTTTTGAAACAGGATAAAAAATTGGATAGCTGCTGCCATTCCTCAGAGACACACTTCCTATTTTCAGAAAGAATTAGAGACCATTTCTGTCAAACAATCCTCATGTATGACAAAAATATTAATAAAACATGTAAAAAAGGGAACACAAAAATTCACCACATCAATTAATTACATCATAAAAATAAGAATGGGATAACAACGCCACCAAATTAATTAACTGGAGAGTATAAACATCATAGAACAATATACAAATATTATAAAAATAGATAACTTTAATCTGAACCACAGTCCAATAATACAAAAAAGATATAGACATACTTCTTTTTTCGTAAAGAACTGCATTTGCTCTTCTGAATATCATTGCTGTTTTGGTGTTCTCTGTCAATGTTAAACACTGTTGGTCCTTACTGGTAAATAAGAAGGCCCTGTTAAATTTAAGAGGAGAGAGCAATGTAAGAAACAATACTGAATATGTGCTTATTTTCCTGAAAACATTTTTGAGTATTCAGTTGTCACTTTATCAAACATTAGAGTTCAGTGATATTTAAGACTATGAAATGTTTTGAAATCACTGAGTATTACAGCTCACATTTTCAGCAGTGATTCTCACTTCTAAGTGCTCATAACAAACCTAGGCAGAAAGGAATTATAGAAGAAGATTATAACAATAAGAAATTATAACAAGGGATTTATAACTTGCCAGAGGTTCAAGAGACCATGCTGAAGGTGATATATACACAAGGCACCTTGACCTTATTTTGAAAATATTAGTGGTCATTCAAGGAGTCAAACACAGTCCAGGACCTTAACTCATCTTGTAGTAACTCTTCTGAGAGTAAGCACTTTGTAAGTCATAGCCTTTTGTCTTTTCAGCAAGTGCTTAGGCTGTAAACTGCAAACTGAAGCAGATGGCGTAGCCTCTAGAATACCATCTAAGGAAACCTTCTGACAGGGTAAATAGTTCCTACAGCTTGCTTTTCGGGACCAAAAAGAAAAGAGCAATAGCTTCAGGGGGTGACAATAAAGTTGTTATGCCAAATTAAGCCAATTAAACTGTCAGTAATGTTAAATTTGCAAGTAGGAAAGTAACTAAGGAGCACGGCCCAATCCACGTCTAAGGAGAGATAATAAGTCTGGAGTATTGATCTGAACAGATTGGTCTGAAGCATTAATATGAGGATGCTGCAGTGCTGGCCTGGTCTTAAGCTCTAACCAACATTTATCTTTCTTCCCTCAAATCCTTCCTGCCAGACAGCACCTGTTCTTGCTTGATTGTAATAGATCTCTTGTAAGTAATTAAGGAGGCATTAACCTGATGTCATCCCTCAAATCCTTTCTGCCAGACAGCACCTGTTCTTGCTTGATTGTAATAGATCTCATGTAAGTAAGTAATTAAGGCGGCATTAAGCTGATGTCATTCCAGTGCCAAGTGATGGCAGGCTTAGACCCTGGGGCAGAAGCTGAGGAATGATACTGTGTCTGAATATACCTCAAAAGAGAACATTCATTCCCTGCAAACTGTAAATATATAATCTGAATATACAGACTTGCACTCTCTGCCTTCCTCCCCACTCTCCTGAACCACGTGCTACTGCAGGTCTGCCCTCTTTGTGGTTTTCAGAGTGAAGCTGGATCAAGGGGAATTGGTGTTATTTCATACAGTCAGCAGACCTCTGTCATCCTTCAGGGTTACACCTTTTTTAAAAAAGTCTCGTTTTCTCATCTGAGTTAAAACACAAAGTTACAAAGCACATTTACTAAGTCAGCAGCATTGTATCCCTGCCTTGAATAAAAGCATTAAGTAGAACCAAGTGCTTGAAACAGCAGTGCAGGCAATCACTCTGCTGAGTTCAGAAAGGCATGCTGCAGAAGTGGAACACTGGAAGAGACAACACCTCTGCCCCCTCTGTGCAGACTGCCTCCCACTGCAGCAAAGGACACCTCTCCTCACTGCCCCAGTTTCCTGCTATACTGCTGGAGCTCAAATGGCTGCAAGGCTTTGGCACAGGAGATCCAGAAGCCCTAGGCTCAGAGCAATGGGCTCCAGTGAGGCAGAAGCCTGAGCAAAGACCAACAATACTGGTTCATCAACACCTTTCATGCTTTCCAGCCCCCTGAGCCTGCTTAATGCAAGTGCAGCAAGAGGACTTGGCTGAAAGAAGTGTTTAGAATCATTAAGGTTTAGGTGGCCATCTCCTTCTCAAAGTAAATAGAAGTTATCTAAGTCCAAATTCTTGTAAAATTCTGAATAATGGATTTATCTGCAAAGTAGCCAATGCAATGAAAATAAGCAATGCTATTACTGCTGTCCTAATTTTCTAAGAAATTAATTATGACTCCTTGTTGCAGAAGGAGTGCAAGAGTCTTGATAAAACTATGTCAAGTTGTTTTGCAGCATGTCAAGCTGTGCATCAAGATATCGTAATGTTTTCCAATGAAAATTCAACATAACTTTCTTAATTTCTCTGTTTTTCTGTCTTCATCTACATGTCCCAGCCATTCTGTTTGTGCACATTTTTTTGTTTTTCCAGCAAACCTCAAACCCCCACATAGTCATAAGGAAACCCTTGAAAGTTCAGACTGTGGATAAAACAGGCATATTGTTCCATCACCTGCAATGAAAGATATATGTGGGAACCAGTGGAAATTACCTGCAGGCAAACTTTTCTTCATTTTCACATTTCTCTGCACATTCTTCCTCACTATTTGCTCTATAAACTTGCTTCATTGGGTTGAGCAACCAAGCTCCCTCTGTTCTCACATAGCGGTCTAGAATGCTTCCTTGCACTAAAAGGAAAAAAAGAGAAAGGCGTGAAAATGGGAATGATAATCTGATTTATTTCAAACTCCCATGTTAAATTCTTTGTAACCTAGTCATGTGACATCACCATTTAATAATAAACTATTTAGTAATGAACTATTCCATATTAATGGAATAGTTTGGTTAATGGTGACAAAATAGGGCTAAATCTAAAATGCCTTCCTGGTATGGCAAAAGACAGCATCACTGAAAACCCAGTGTAAGGCAGGACAGAAAAATGGCTTGAACAGTGATAACATAAACCTATGGTATAAGGTAATGGGAGCACAGGAGCAAAAGGAGCAAAAAAAGTGAGGTGTTTCAGAAAGAAAATACTGGCCATGCATCCTTTGGACAAAGCAGAGAAATGGGGCTCAAGAAAGATGTGGAACGTTTGTCCATTGCTGTCCATCTATCCACATGGAATGACTTCAGACTTACCAGTCACCTCCTTTCAAAGGTTGCTACTCTAAAAAGAAACAAACCACCCTCAGTCACTGGGGTTGTCAGATGTTCAGTTTGTAATTTTCATAATAACCCTGTACTGAACTTAATTAATAATAAAGGTAGCAGTTGTTGTGCTCCATTGCAATGAATTAAGGCAAGACACTAAACAGGTAAATAAATTCACCTAACAACCTCTGGGCTACAGCTGCATGTCAAATATATAGGATACTAAAAAGTACAGCTATGTTTAATGGTAAACTCAAAAAGTGTTCCAGAGCAGTTCTCCTTGTAAAGGACTTTGGCATTTAGTATTTTCCTATAACAGCTCTGCAATCTCAGAATTAGTGCACAGCACAGTGACTTTCATGACTTCCAGCTGCAGGGTCATGGAGTTGCATGAGTCCTATGATTTTTACAGTTTCTTTATCAGTAGAGCATATGACTCTTCTAATGAACATTTGGCTCTGGGAGTTACCTGTTCTGTAGGGTTTCAACCCCAAACAGACACGCTGGCCCCTGGTCACTGCAGGACATCTCAGTCCTGCTCTGTGCTTTTGTGCCTGGCCTTATGCAATTGCTGAATAAAAGGCAGACATGGGATGAACCAGACCATGACTGGAATCTCAGGAATAACAGCCATGCTGCAGAGAGAAACTTTTTCACTTTCTCTGACCCCTGTGTGTCTCAGCCACGGCCCAATGCCAGCAGGAGGGACAAAAAGCCTCTTTGTCCCACTCAGACCCATGGCCCGTGAGAGGGGGCTCCACTGGGTTGTTTAGTGATGCCTTTCCAGCTGAGAAAGGCAACAGCTCCTCCCTTTCCCAAGTAACACTCTTTACTGTGAAGCAGGCCCATAAGTGTCCTGCTATTAAACTCCTTCACCTGAGACATAGCTTAACCTGCAATTGGATATAAATTAAAATGTCATTTTGCATTGAAGTTGAAGCTGGTAAAATAGGGATAAAAGCCAGATTATGCTTCCTCTCACACAACTGCAAAAAGCACAGAAGTTACTGCAGGGGTTTTTTGCATTTAAAAACCGCTGGGAAGAGCTCGTCCCTAAGGGTTGGCAGTTACTTCACGAGTATGCATGGAAGAAAAGGATAGCTGCTGGAAAACAAAAGAATAAATGAAAAAGAGTCCAATGACAATTCTACTAGTTATTTCAAAACAAAAACATTGAGAAGAAATTAGTTTTGAGACAAAACATTAAACTAGGTTAAGACAATATCATAGGGATGCTGCAATGCTCTCCACAAGGAAAAGAAAAACAAGTAAAGAATTCCTATTATGGTACAGCTTCCATGCAAACTTAATTCTGTTCTGTTTTGACATTTTGCAACAATATTGTCATTTTTAATACAACATTTGATTTTAGAAATATTGACAGGGTCATAATTGATTTGCATAATAAAAATATTTTCCCCATTTTCTGTTATATTTACATGGCAGGGCATTACTTGTAGGAAAATAAAAAGAAAAATATGCAATCAGTAAAAAAGCAGTAAATTTTCATGCTACCATTTTCCCTATACCTATGATGTTTTACAGTCTCAGAAAGATGTATTACTATCTTATTCAGAAATGCAAATATTTGCTACCATTTGATAAAGGATTTGCAAACAAAAGTATAATATTTCAGATAAAAGCCCTAATTTTATCTTTTTGTCCCTCATATAAAATTCCTACTCAACTGAGGAAGGTATTTGATTTTACAGAGGCTGTTCTTTTGCAAAAACAAAGTTTAGAAACTAGAATTTAAACCAAGATAAAAATTCTTAGCATTAAATAACAGATTTTTTTATGCTGGGGCATGTCTCTAATATTTCCAGCTAAAATCTACCCATATATTTTCCTAACTGTTACTTTTTCTTATGTTTTAAAACTGCACATGTAAAAATGTTCATTTATTTTATTGTGTCTTTATATATGCATTAGCACATATAACTGTATTTTTTACTACAATCATAACATATAGTGTGGTTATACAGATGCCCGCAAGAAGCTGTGTGGTCTGAATCTCACAGTTCACTGGAGTTTAAGGTTTTCAGGACAGAGAATATTCATATGTATGAAATCCATAGAAATATATCTAAAGAACCCAATTCAGTTCTTATGTGTTCCAAAACTTTTGCATCATCTCCCACAAAAATACCTTTTTGTACCAAGACTGTTGCAAAAACTAACAGTGATCAGATTTGGTCTCCCTATCACATGGAATGAAAAATTCACTGCTAAGAATGTAGTTATGAAAAAGACTGAAACAGACGTGTGTAGAACAAGCTTTCCTCTCCTGTACCATTCTGTTTTGCACAAGCATTAACAAACTTTAGAGCAATCAGAATAAGGATCACAGTGGCTGGAAATAACAGAAAAAAAATCCCCAAACCTAAGCTAAAAGGCTGCTGAAACCAGAGGGAGCCACGCCTTTGCACAAGCCTTTGACAGGCTGCTTCCCAAGGGTGCCCCTGTCTCTGGCCATGGGGAACATTTGCTGGGAGCCATTAGCTGCCCGTGCAGACACCAAGGCTGATTCTTTTCTGGTGTCTCTAAGGAACACAACCCTGGAGCAATGACAGCTCTCACTCTGTTCATCAGCAGCTCTTGCTGCCCAGCAAGCCCCAAACCCATCATCATCCAGGGGAGCTGAGACACAGGGATTTGGGGACCTACCTTCATCACATGGAGCTTGCAAGTGTCTGATCCCAGCCTTACCTAGGCAAGCAGAAGGCAAAGGACTCTTACCTGAGCTGAGAAAGAAGAGAAGGAGAAAGGCAGCTTTGCTAATCCCCATTTTGGGCCAGCTTGGAGGGCGCTGGAAGTTGTGTGTGTCGGTGCTCAAAGTTTTATTGACTAGCACTGGAGTGAGGCAGCATCAAACAAACAAGGCAGGAGGATTAAGTTAATCATTCTCCCATGCTGCTCCCCCCTTGCCCTGGTGTGGCTGTTCAAACAACCTTGAATTGGATGGATTACCAAATCAGATTCAATCATTCCTACTGGATGCTATTAAATGCAAAGGCACTGTCTTGTTTTGCAGGATATGTTTTGTTCTCAAATGGTTAGGTCTTTCTCTACTAGAGAAAAGGCAAGAATAATATTGCTGGAAAGCATGGAAAACCATGTGTCCGGGCAGGATCTGAATTTCTTTTGACATTAGAGTCCCAATAGTAAATTCAGCCATGCATACTTGTATTGATTTATAAGGAGCAACTTCTATTTAATCTAATGGTAAGCATGATTATAAGATTCAGATATTAACTCTGTAAAAGAATTCCTTTTCTGCTATCTCCTTGACTTAGAGTTTTCTTTTTTATTTTTTTTCTTTTATTTGGGAGTAGGACTTAATTTTAATTTCATTTAGACTTTAGCTTTAAGAGGATAGTCTGAATGTTAAACATTAGGTTTAAGAATCATAGATAGCAATTCAGTGTTTTTCCTTGCCAGACATTTAATCTCACACTGCATGCACAAACTCATCCAGCGAGGGTGTCAGACTTTGTTCATCTGTGTGTTATCCTGATTTCAACATCAGCTCACTCTGTATTTCCCAAGCAGCCTTTACCTTGGAAAAGTTGCACTGCAGCACCATTTCATGGCTTCTTTTGTATGTTAACTCTCTGGTGTTTCTTCTAAACAAATTACTGAGTCAAATGTGCTAGTGACTCACCAGAGGCAGGAGCAGGATGAATATTGGATGGAGAGAACAGACTTGAATGAATACTGCTGGATCATGAAATTCAGTCTTCTGCAATTGGAGGCCAAAAGTTTACAGAATCATGAGTTGCTTCTAAAAACTAATGAGGCTGTCCACGTCTACATCATCCTACCTGCTTTAAGTAGAAATTACAGTATATTGAAGGTTTGGGATAAAGCTAGGAGTGCAGGACTAAATATGTGAGAGAGGCATTCTAGCATGAGAACCAGATTAGCTTATATTTTACTGTTTATCTGAAATATTTAAAGCTGATCCTGCTTGTCCTATGCTGTTTTTCTCCTGTCAGGTAGTATAATACCATGCTATTTGGCTGTTTTCTGTGCTTGAATCTGTTTTAATGCAACTTGTGAACAACAGCAAAGCACGGGATATCTCTAAGAGGCTTGACCACTGATGTTAGTCCAGGGAAACAAAGCAGATGGGCCAAGGACAGTAGCTGATGGGAGCTGGACTCAGCTCAGGGAAACATTTGAAGAGTGACAGGGAGAAGGGGTGGGATATAATGCAATTACATGTGGGATCAGGCTTATCAGGTTTTAGGACCAGTTACTGATTAGGAAAGAATGGTAAAACAAAGGAGAGGAACACCAAGTAGGGTTTACTAGCAAGCAGGCTTTTGAGAGCTATTTGAGCCTGATTTAGCTCCACATTTTTAACAATCTTAACCTCATTTTCCATTCTAGCTCTAGATCTTAGTTTTCATCTCTCCTGCTCCATACCCCCTGACTCCCTGGCTACAAACAGCATCTCCTCACCAATCCTTGTGCCTCCTTCCCATCAGATATTATCACATAGTGTGTCTTCTCCTTATTCCAATGCAAAATTAGTTTTTTGCTCAGCCCTGCCCTCTCCAGCATCTTTGGCACCTTCCCCATTTTTCTGTGTCTCCCATTTCCACTGAGGTAGTCACTGGGTTACTGTGCACATCTCGTGGTAAAAGTCTAACCAAAAAAAATGCCTAAGTGGGTGAGTGCAGCTGTTTCTGCTGCATGGAGAGGTTTGAAAGGCTGTGAGTCTTAACTGAGTTTGTAAAACTCACCAATAAACACTATGTGTTAGATCTGATGTGATTTTGATCAGATCAGCTTTTCCTACTGGTTTTCAAAACCAAAGAAGCTAATTGTGGTAGACAAAGGTTTGTTAACACATGTCCAGGACAGTTTGGGAAAATTTGCATGCATCAGTTCAGCAAACTCTTTTGCAAGCTTTTCTCATGTTAAAGGTCTATATATATTCCTTCAAAATCTATACTCCTTCCTTACAGTTGTTGCCAGTTTAAGGCTTGGGTCTGGTTCTTCTCTCAATCTCATTGTCTCAAATCTGATTAAAATGCACCTACATTGGTGTGAATGCTCTGAAGAAAGCAAAGAACACTCATAGTTCCATTTCATTCAAAGATGGCAGTGCAGCTCTGAAGAAAGATTTCTGTCTAAATGGGTCTGATCTTGGAAAACTGGACTTGAGAATATTGTTAGCAATTGTTCCTGGTATAAAAACAGCCATTCTGTAAGTTTTCCACAAGAAAATGACAAAACAGAGGTGTCTTTCGTCTGCCACACTGGCAATCCTCACTGTTGTCTTGTGACAAGGATGTGACTTGTCAAGGCATTACATTTGACAGGATCCTTGTAAACTGTTGATTTATCCTTTTGTACCTTTCCTTCTTCCCTCCTTCCCCTCATTGATGCACACAGTATCTAAATCTCTCTCCAGTTCTAATCTTGTGGTGTTTGTTCTCATTTATTTGATCACTGTGAGGATCACCCACAGGTGGAAGTTTATCAGATCTTATTTCAGACTCAGGGTACATTGGTTAGCACAATGGTTAAAATATAAACAACAGTAGGAGGCTTTTTAAATAGAAGTTGACCCTTGAAATTGGGTTTACTGTAAGTTCAGAAAAAAACCCCAAAAGTAATTGCAAACAATGTCAGAACACAGAGCAAATTTTTTTAAAATAAATTCCCTTAAACATAAATTCTCTAAATTTCAGAATCAGGAAACGTCAGAAAACAGACACTAATATGATATCACTGATATCACTTACTTGCTAAGAGGAAAGAATCAAAGGAAAGATTTTGTTATCTTTAGATGTCTTCAAAGGAAGGGAAAATTTCAAAAGGCATCTCTAAGGTATTGCACATCCACAAGACTGGGATGAGCATGAAGTAAAGGAGTTAATGTAATTGCTCCAAGGAGCAATGCCACAACACAGAGCCATGAGCAGCTGGGAAACAAGGAAGGTATTTTTTCTTTTCAAACACCAACAGAGAAAGTAACAAAAGTAAGACATAGCTAGCCCTGATCCACAGAGCCAGAGGGAACTTTGGGCAGCAACCCCAGATGGATAATGTGCATGGCTTCTAACAGCAGGTGCTGCTGACCGTAAGGTAGGGAGGAGTTCGCGAGGAGGAAAGGTAGCCAAGTTAAAAATAAATTCTGTCCTTGCTCTGCACATGAAAGAACACAGAGGGCAGAAGATCTGGTAGATAAACTCATCTCTGTGATTTCTGGCCACAGATATTAATGGATCCAAGGTAAGGAAAATGGCAATAAGGAGATACAGAGAGGATGTTTTTCCAGTAGTGAAAGCTTCTGTCTCTAAAATGTTCATTTGTTCTGGCTGCTGCCAAATGTAAGAAACCAGCAGAATAAAGTCAGACAAATGAGAAGCTAGAAGTGAGCAATCTAAGTGTCACCTTTATAGCAGAAAGATCTAAAGAATTAACATGAATTAAGAATTAGTGAGGTTTCTGCATTGCTGAAAAAGTGTTTGGAAATACAGGGATTGTGCAATTGCCTTTAATAGAGATGTGGAGAGCATTAAAGCCATAGGGAATCTGACAGCCAGCACTTAGCACAGTGTGCTACAAGTCTTTGCACATGAGGGACAACTGTATCGTGTTGCTGCTAGACAAGAGGGTAAAATCATTCCTCGTTTCCTACACAGAGAACATCAGAGAAACCAGTGCTAAGCTAAAGAATTATGGACAGCAGAGGGATTGTACAGCTTTGAGTCCTGCTTGAGTATCCCAGCCTGTAACATCCAGCACTAGCTCTGCTTTGGAAAGTGGTTCAGCAAAACTGCTGTGGTGATCTGCTGTAGCCTGCTCAACGTTTCTGTCAGGGGGAGCACATGTCCTGCATCCAAACTTGTTTTTCCTTGATTTTGTTATTCTCCTGCTATACTACTGTCACCACCCTGCCTAAAGAGTGCTACCCAGTCCTTACATGTGGGGCTGCAGAACACCAACAGAGAAGCAGCACGTAATAGGACCTGAAATGCAACACGTATGTCTGATTTTCTTTTTAGTTCTGTTCTTCTTGGAAGAGTCTGTAAGAAAGTGAGAATCTTTTTGTATTTAGGCTTCTCAAAGACTGGTGCACGCCAGGTCACTGGTGCAGTTCTTTGTGTTTAGCAGGCGAGCAGTTCCTGCCTCTGCTGTTCCAAGTCACAGGACTCAGCTGGAAGCTGTGCACTGGAACCCATGCAGGAGGAGGGTTGTTGAACTCTTATCAGTCCTTCCTCTGACACCTAATGGTGCAACTTAACCCTTTCACCACTCTGTTCAAAATGTTTAGTCACTGAGGAGTCCTTGGATGAGAATAAGGGCAATTTGGCAGCAGAATGTGGAAGAGAAAATGAAGAAAAGAAGAATAACAATTATTCCACTTCTGATTAGAAAAGCAGAAGACAGACTGTGTGGAGAAATTTTGCATTTTACCCAACAGTTGTCCAAGCGCTTCCAAAGACCCCTGCAAATGCCTGCTATTTTTAAGGTGCTGTTCTGATCTTTTCCTACACACTTAGGCAGTTTTACACAATGATCAGTGCTGCAGTGTTTTGCTAACTGATGGTTCCAGTTAGTGATGAAATCAACTGTCTAGAAACATCATTGAAATAAGATGAATGTTTATAGTTCTTTACTTCTCTGACAGTTTCAGAAAAGAGGGACAAGCCACCTCCATTTTCCCACAAAGTGTATATTGAAATTTCCTAGTGCATTTTCTGCTTGTCACTTACATGTAGGTTTATTTCCATGCTTATTCCTGGGTCATTAGTTGCATAAAGGAGG